TAGTCTAAAGCAGATAATGCTGAGATAGCATAGTGATCTCAATAGGATAACCTAGGAACAAGCAGATGCTAGTTATTTTGAGATTACAGCTACACTATGCATGCTTGCACTGCATAGAGCCGGATAAGCCAAAAAATTGCTCCAGATGGGCATATTTCAGTATCAGCCTAAAATATATACATGTTAGAATAGAAACACTCCATGATAACTGTAATGTTAAACCCTAACATTATCAAGATTTTATTCCTGTTTGTGATCCCACTGAGGACATCATCCCTCATTTCCTGTCTCTGTGTCACCTGTACAAGAAATGGAGGATGTGAGTTTTTGTCCAGGCAGGAAATGGGTGTAAATTTCGCCAGGAGTTAGAAAGACGTACAAAAACCTAACAGACCCTCTTTATACAGTTTTCAAAAAATATTGCGAAAACCAACTTTGATTGGATATGCTTGCACAAGAAGTAAACCAATTGTTGTGAACGATCGTGCTCTATAGTCCATTGGCTCAGTTGCACCTACTCAATTTGTCTATAAATATACTCCATTGATAGCTGCATGCAAACTGCAGCTAACACTATACATGAAGTTTTCTAATAGGCAACTGAAACAGCCAATTACAAAAGATATAAAAGAAGATCTATGTTTACCAACCAAGTGGAGATACCCCCTCAATTTTGTCCAATTTAAGGTACGTTGTACTATCCATGCCCTCCGTGATTTTTAAGTACAAACAAGGAATACCTTTCATGTGCTTAGGCTCAAATGTATGCAATGGTAAATGTGTGAAACTTTTTAATAATCTGCCATGATAAATCAAATCATGATAAAATGTAAACCAAAACCTTTTATTTAGTGTAAATATAAACATTCATCTAAATCTCCATTTCCTTTGTACAGTTACTTGAATTTGATGAACGGATGCACTGGATGCCTTCAGCTGCCATTGTGCTTTTGCCATGCATCCCTGTGCCTTTAAGGAGGGATGGGCTCCCTCCAGGCAAACCTGCCCTTAATCTATCCACTGCTATATGTGCTCCAACCTGGATATTCTGAAAATTATAGAGTTAGGTCCGCAGTATACAGAGGAGCCTTGATGTTGGCACATCAGCTTACTCATATATTTACAAATGTGTGCAACAAATCTCTCTTTTTTTAACATGAATTGTTAGATAGGGACAATTTTTGCAGGCTAGCTGGTAAGTGAGCTGGGAATTCTGTGTTGCCCTTTCATGTGCACACTGCTGCAAAGACTAATTACAGTTTTTGGTGGTTGTCACTTTTTTGTCCACATATGGGTATCTAAAAGCAGAGTCCCCCCCCCCACCTCCCAAAAAAAAAAGTCAGCAGCTACAAATACCATAGTAGGGCACTTACCTGTCCAGGCATCCAGCGGTGTCCTCACCCCGAGCCAATTCTTCAATAGGCTGTCAGGTGCTGGTGCTGCCATCTTGACTAAGAGAAACCAGCAGTGAAGCCTTACGCCTTCACCGCCAGTTTCCTGCTGCACTTTGTGAATGGGCTGCAGTCCTCTGGAACCTTGGAAGTGTCCCAGATGGCTGTGGAGGGGTGGCGAACGTCCGGCTCAGTTCGCTACAGTGAACTCAGCCAGAAATGGGAGCGGCTACCTGTCAAAACCAGGTACCTGCTCCTCCCCAAAAGGTGCCAAATGTTGCAGCGGAGGAGGGGGAGGAGGCAGAAAAGCGGAGTCTCTACTTTTGGGTGGAACTCCACTTTAACCACTATCTGCCCCACCTTTGGGATTTTATTATAAAGTAAGTCTCTACATATTGTATATTGTGACACTTTATTCACAAGAGTTTTGAATGACGGTCTCACTTCTTTGGGTGTACTGGTAGCATTGCATGACTTTCTTTTAAGTTGAGAGGCGGCATTGTGGATTTTCCAGCAGAAGGTGACAAACTTAGCAGTAACATCTTGAACAATAAAGCGCAGTATGCCACAGTAAAGATTTCCTTTCTTTTCTGTTGGTGTTTAAGAGCTGGATTAGAGAACATTTGGGAGCTGTACTAAAAGGCACAGCAAGATGCTAAGTAGTTTGTCAAAGAGCAAATATAAGGTTTGCCTAATGATTGTGAGCAACAGACAATTCGAGAAGGCTCCCGTTTGCAAGTAGGATTTCTGTAACCTTGGGGAGCGCTACATAATTATCCCTGAAAGTAAATTTAGATATAGTACAATGATTGCCAAAAAAAGACACTCTAATAGCATGCAAGGAAGGAACACTCGGATAATTACTGCAATTATATAGGGGTTTCTCAACAAGACTCTGGTAGGAGCTCACTATTTAAAGGGCAACAGGCATATGCAACATAAACCTTTCCATATAATGGAAAATAACATTTGTCACATACAATCCACATGTTCCTAAACACAGAGCTGCATCAACTAAATGCTGTATCTATGCTTGGGGCTGGAGCAATCAGAAGACTATTACTTCAACACAGTTATGTTTAGAGTTCCTCCATAGCAAATGTTAAACCCTGAATTTCAAGAGCCTATACCAGTGATGGCGAACCTTTTTGAGCCCGAGTGCCCAAAACTGCAACACAAACCAACTTTTTTATTTCAAAGTGCCAACACTGCAATTAACCACTTGCCTACCTGGACGCATTGACAGACGGCACTGATCGGTGGCACTGCTGGGCATCATTGATGGGTGGCACTGATGGGCAGCACTGATGGGCGACACTGCTGGGCACTGACAGGTGGCACTGCTGGGCAGCACTGACAGGTGGCACTGCTGGGCAGCGCTGACAGGCGACACTGCTGGGCACTGATGGGTGACACTGCTGGGCACTGATGGATGACACTGCTGGGCATCATTGATGGGTGGCACTGATGGGCAGCACTGATGGGCGACACTGCTGGGCACTGACAGGTGGCACTGCTGGGCAGCACTGACAGGCGACACTGCTGGGCACTGATGGGTGACACTGCTGGGCACTGATGGATGGCACTGCTGGGCATCATTGATGGGTGGCACTGATGGGCAGCACTGATGGGCATACTGCTGGGCACTGATGGGCGATACTGCACTGGGGCACACTGACATGTGGCACTGCTGGGCACTGATGGATGGACTGACACTGCAAGCAATCTCACCTCTGGCAGCGTCGGTGTGGCTTCCAACCCAGCAGCTCATTCCCATCCACGCTGAACACGTTGCCCCTGGCCCCGGAGCAGTGTGGGAGCCTCTTCCTCTCTTCCGCGCCCATCCCCGGGTACATCACCCCTGGTGCCAGAGCCGCATTAGAGCCGTTTCCTCTCGTCCACGCCCACCCTGGCCCCAGAGACATGTGGGAAATGTAGTTTGATGGGGATCCAGTGTGGACGAGATCTGGATGGCCGGTCCATGCTCGCTCATCATCCTCTTCTTCCTGGCGTGCCCACTGAGATGGCTCTGCTTGCCAGCTCTGGCACGCGTGCCATAGGTTCGCCATCACTGGCCTATACTCACAGAAAGATAATAAATACTATCAACAAAGTACTACCCGTCCTCACCCCACTAAACCCTAACAGTAATATTGGCTGCCACTACTGGTATCAATGAAAGAGACATTCTAAAATAAAATGTCTCATTGGTAATACCACTTACCTAAACTGCCAGCGCAGGCCCTCCTCTTCCCATCAGCTACAGGAAATAATTCGGGAAACAGAGACAATTACATAGGTGGTAGCTGTTCTCCTGAAGACTGAAAGAAGACCTGTTCTATAGATTGGGGTAAAGATATTCATAGTACGAGGTGGCATCTCTGTATGGAAAACACTGGAAGTAGAATAAGCAGCCATCTGCCCTTCTGGTTGCCTACACTTAAAGGATAAGTTCAACTTTAAAAAAAAAAAAAAGATAAATCCAGGTAAAAAAATGTGCATTTATTATTTTTTGTTTGTTGAGCCTCTAAAGCATTGCACCAGCAATCAGCAGATTGCTTGTGCCATGCGAGTCTCCCTCTTACCTGTCACTATATCTGTGTGCTTATACATCCCATACGGGCAAGTAGATACTTACTGACAGGAAGGCTCAACGAACTACCATGGCGCCGTGGAGCAGCTGCAAAGGATGTCGGAACTTGTAGTTTTCCCATTCACAGAATACTGTTAATGAGTGATGCGTCCAGGAGGGTGGAGCCCTGCACGGCCGCCTTTTTTTTTTAAAAAAATGCAGTCACAACAGGGATCGGGAGGTGCAGGGGCCAGTCCGATTGTAACATGTTACACCCTGAATATGGGTGTAATATGTTAAGAAAGGTGAACTTATCCTTTAAGAGCATTCAATTCTTTCTTGTTATGTCACTGCCTTATGCCATTACTGGCCATGCAGATGGAAAGTATTAAAAGGAGAGGTTAACCACTTGCCCTCCAGAGAATTTACCCCCTTCCTGACCAGGCCATTTTTTGCGATACAGCACTACATTACTTTAACTGACAATTTCGCGGTCATGCAATGCTGTACATAAACTAAATTTTGTTCTTTTTTCCCCACAAATAGAACTTTCTTTCAGTGATATTTGATCATCTCTGCAGTTTTTATTTTTTGCGCTATAAACAAAAAAAGACCAACAATTTGTGGAAAAAAAAAACAATATTTCTGACTTTTTGCTAAAAAACATATCCAGTAAAAACTTAAAAAAATCTAATTTCTTTAATAAATTTAGGCCAAAATGTATTCTGCTACGTCTTTGCTAAAAAAAAAAAATCCCAATACATGTAAATTAATTGGTTTACGTGAAAGATATAGCATCTACAAATGGCAGTATATATACTGGAATTTTTACATATATATACTGGTAATGGCGGCGATCAGCGCCTTATAGCGGGATTTCGGCGGGCATTCTGACACTGGGTGGGAACTGACTGTCACTGACATCCCAATGACACTAATACAGTGATCAGTGATAATAAAAAGCACTGGCACTGTACTAATGATACTGGGCAGGAAAGGGTTAACATCTGGGGCAATCAAAGGGTTAACTGTGTGATGTGTGTGTGTTTTACTAGGGAGACATGCTATTTTGTATTTCTCTGCTGCGCAGAGAAATACAAAGCAGCATGTCCTTGCTGGCAGGAGAGAGACCTGTGTTGTTTACACATAGGTCTCTTCCCTGTCAGCTTTGCTCGAAGATCCCTGGGTGTCGGTGGGGAAACTCCGGCCGGGACCCCCGTGACTGACATTCCTAGCCGCCAATGGCGGCGCAGGTAGGGTGGTTTATGTGCTCCCTACTCGGAAATGCAAATCATGCGCGATATATATATATGTAATTTTGCGCAGCCCTGCCACCCTGTAGCAGTACTTCTACGGTTAAAGGCAGCATCCATAGATATTACAGGTGCAGACTATACAAACAGAAGTAGAGGCAAAGCTATTTAGCTATACTTAGCCTATGGATCACAGTAGTGTACTTTCTTCTGCACCCCTGGGGTCCGTTTTCAGTCGACAGCAGGCCTAAGTCCACTGTCAGCTGACATCACTCAGCTGCTCCAGGCTCTGGAAAGATTTCAACTTTAGTCCTCATGCACACTGGACATTTGTACAGCGGTTGTTTTTGTCTTTTGATGTTTTTTTCTACAGCCAGTAAACTCCCCAGCATATTATCCTATGTGTCCATGCACACATAGATTGTAATCAACGTAGAGTGCAATGCAGAGGGACTACTTGTAAAGTTGGAGCTGTATTAGGGAGCAAGAGCCGCATAAGCTGATGCTTCCTCTGTAGTGCTGGCTCCTGTTCAAATGATCTCCAATCCCAGAGGACGCCATTTTTGGGGAAACACGTCAGGCGGAGTGTTTCGGTGATGTCACCACGCACGAGCCATCGAACTAACACCGCAGCCGAATAATCAAATGCTTTTACAATGCTCTCAAACTCATCTGACTGAAAGTGCAATACTTAGGTTTTAAATAAACATTTGTTTTTAACGGGTTTGCACTATCAAGTATTTTCTTGTTTAAACCTTTTCATATACTATTGTGGAGAGCGGTATGAAGCATCTAAGCCGGTTCCTGGTGTGAACACGCAGTGATCCATTCATCCTCCCTGGCTCTGTCATTGTGGAGTTTGGACACTATCTGCTCATTTGATCTCTATAGCTGGAGATCAATTTGGTTCGGTAAGAGGCTTGCCTGTTTTTTCTGAGGAGCACCTTTTAAGCACAGCAGAACCTTATTGGAAGATTAATTTGGCATGCAGCACTTTTGCACTTTTTTCTCACATTGGATTTGTGGACTTATTTACATGTGTTTATTTTGCACTGCATTGCACTGTATATGAAATAATATTTGGTGTTATATGTATTTTAGTTTACACAGATTTGTAATTCATAGAGACCTAAAGTATAACTAAAGGCTAAACTAAACACTTTTCTTTTAGTCTTGTATAGAGTGGAGAGGTATTAGAACCCCTGCCAGTTTTTATTGCTGTCTGTGCCCCCATTAGGGAGATTCGCCCTCTCTATTTGTCCTGTTTACTGTTATCATTGAAAGTGAAAGTAAACAAAAATCCCAAATATTGGGTTGTTCCCAGAAAAGTAATAGGGGAACTCTTCCATTGGGGTCACTAGTTCTGGTGACTTGGGCGTCCCCAAGGAATACCCTTAATTTACAGGGATTTCCTCTCACTTCTTTTTGGCTATGGGACAGAAAGTGAAAGGAAATCCCTACAAAGGAACGCAGATGGCAAAACAAAAATCTAACAGGGGTTATAACCCTTCTTTGCTCTATATAAAATAGAAAAAAACGTTTTGCATATAGTTCTACTTTAATAATATTTGTCCAGTTTATGAGCATTCTGTAATCTACTGGAAATAGGTAGTTGTGGAGGCTGCAATTGACACAAGAAAAATATTTTGTAAGTCTATTTAGCATCAAATATGGCCATAGGGATCATAATCAAGTTTAGAGATAAAAAACTTGACATATCTACTGTATATCTAGACTCCACTCAAACACAGCCTACCATTGTCCATCATCCTACAAAGTAGAATAAAAGGCTGAAAATGCCACAGATCAACATTTCATTTTGTCATTTTTTAAACAGGCATTTGTTTAATAATAGGTTATGCTTAATTGTTATGCCTAAAGCCATACATTTTGGAATAAAAACAAATACCTTTCAGTAGAAACATGCATTAATAAATAAAAAAAAGATTTATATTGCAGTGCTTTTTGCCTATGTCAGAGAGAAGGGACATTATTAGAACCATTAACATAAACTTCTATTGGTCTAAACTGATCCTGGGCACTAGCCTTATGATGGCTGCTAAGGTAATACAAGTCCCAGTACTCCCATCCAGAGCAATACTGACATCTGATGCTTCAGAGACTAGTAGCATAAGCCTGGGTTCACACTGATGCGGTGCAGAAATCACAGCGTTTTCTGTGTGAATTCCGAACCGCATCACAATCGCACTCCATTCATGCGAACCGCTGCGGGTGAGTATGTTAACAACACCCTGAAATTGGTCCGCAAAAAGTGGTGCAATGTGCAGAATCGGAGCACATGGGTGTGAATACTGGGATTCTAGTGCGGACAAAAAAAAGGGTCCTGCACAATTTTGGTGCGGATGCAGTGCGATTTCAGCCTTACAAAATGTATGGCACCAATCACACCGCACACAATTTCGCATGTGATTTGTACAGGAATGCAGTGCAGTTCCTGGGTGAATCACATGCGATATACCACACGGCACAAGTGTGAACCCAGCCTAAATGTCAACTGTACCTGATATCCAGAGGCAGTGTCAGATTTTAAAAGTCAACCTCAAGAAATGTTTACATCTGGAAATGACCCAAGTTTTCAAAAGCTAACCAACTATATCCTACAATTGCTAGATTTTGACATATTAAAACACTCATAGCCATTTATTAATGCTGTATGCAGCTTATATAGTAAGCAAATGTTGGTAAACACCTGTTTGTCAGCACTCAGCAGATCTACTAAACCCCCACCCCCAATATAAAATCCCCCTCCCCCAACATAAAATTCCCCCTCTACCTTACCTCTGTATGTGAGAAGCAGCAAGTGTGTTCTAGTATCACCAGCTGATGTGTTCCAGGATCATAAGATAACAGGCCATGGTAATGAAGTAACTGGCACTACTGTAAACTTCAAGAAGCAGGGCCCTCCTAACCCTCTTGTATTGAACTGTATTGTTACTGTATTGTCTCCCGTTATATTGTAAAGCGCTGAGCAAACTGTTGGCGCTATATAAATCCTGTATAATAATAATAATAACTACAGGAATGCCTGTATTTAAAACTGAACTATACAGCAGACAGGATATGCTGCCTGTATTCATCTCAAGGTTTCACTTTCAATTTTGAATAAGGTACTGTATACCTTTAAAAGGAATAGTTAGTCATTTTCCATTTGCTCATTTATTTATTACAGTCCAGAATAAAAATTTCCTTTTATTGTATTAACCACTTCAAGCCCTTAGGTTATATATACAGTTGTGTTCAAAATAATAGCAGTGTGTTGAAAAAAGTGAATAAAGCTCAAAATCCTTCTAATAGCTTTTATTTCCATACACACAAATGCATTGGGAACACTACACATTCTATTCCAAATCAAAACATGAAGAAAACTATATCAAATGTGTGTTGTTCCTCTAAAAAAATTGAAGAAAGTTAATATTAGACTGTTCAAAAAAATAGTGTTTGTATTCTTCTTTACAAACTCAAACATTCACTATATAAACTGAAAAATGTTTGAAGATTTTGCTTTCCTTTGAATCACTTAATGAATATTTAGTTGTATAAGCACTGTTTCTGAGAACTGCTGTACATCTGTGTTGCATGGAGTCAACCAACTTCTGGCACCTGTGAACAGGTATTCCAGCCCAGGATGATTGGACTACATTCCACAGTTCTTCTCTATTTCTTGGTTTTGCCTCAGAAACTGCATTTTTGATGTCACCCCACAAGTTTTTCTATTGGATTAAGATCCGGGGATTGGGCTGGCCACTCCATAACGTCAATCTTGTTGGTCTGGAACCAAGATGTTGCACATTTACTGGTGTGTTTGGGGTCGTTGTCTTGTTGGAACACCCATTTCAAGGGCATTTCCTCTTCAGCATAAGGCAGCATGACCTCTTCAAGTATTCTGATGTATTCAAACTGATCCATGATCCCTGCTATGTGATAAATAGGCCCAACACCGTAGTATGAGAAACATCCCCATATCATGATGCTTGCGCAACCATGCTTCACTGTCTTCACAGTGTACTGTGACTTGTATTTGTATTTGTATATGCATTCATTTTTTTAACAGCTCTGATGAAAAAGGGAGCACCCTTCGAAACGCGTTAGCCTTCATCCCCCCCTTTTCGATTTACCTGTAACCCTGTTTGGATTATGGTTACTTATGACTGTTATACCATCATTTTGTGAGTATATTTCCTTATTAATAAAATTAGTCACTATTTATTGAGGTAATGCACAAGGTTTGTGCGCTCTTTCTTTCATCTTCCTCTACTGTGGCTTGAATTCAGTGTTTGGGGGTCATCTGACAAACTGTCTCCGGCCACTAGACCCAAAAAGAACAATCTTACTTTCATCAGTCCACAAAATGTTGCGCCATTTCTCTTTAGGCCAGCCAATGTGTTCTTTGGCAAATTGCAACCTCTTCAGCACGTCTTTTTTTCAACAGTGGGACTTTGCGGGGGCTTCTTGCAGATAACTTGGCTTCACATAGGCATCTTCTAATTGTAACAGTACTCACAGGTAACTTTTAGACCTTCTTTGATCTTCCTGGAGCTGATTGTTGGCTGAGTCCTTGCCATTTTGGCTATTCTTCTATCCATTCGAATGGTAGTTTTTTGCTTTGTTCCATGTCTTTCAGGTTTTGATTGCCATTTTAAAGCATTTGCGATCATTTTAGCTGAGCAGCCTATCATTTTCTGCACTTCTTTATATGTTTTCCCCTCTCCAATCAACTTTTTAATCAAGGTATGCTGTTCTTCTGAACAATGTCTGGAACGACCCATTTTCCTCAGAATTTCAGAGAGAAATGCACTCTAACCAGCATGTACAACATTTGCTGCCTTCCTTCCGTAAATACGGGCAATAATTGCCACCTGTTTTTCAAAGAATGAATGACCTCACTAATAGAACTCCACACTGCTATTATTTTGAACATGCCCCTTTCAATTAGTGGTTCAATTACACAGAATCAGCAGCATGCATGTCATGACTGTT